CGACAACAGTAAAACATGTGAAGACCAAGAGAGAGCAGAGGAAAAGGTAACACTAACGTAATTGATCTTCCACACTGTATTTACCAAAGAATCTCCAATGGCACAGGCATTATGAGATCCCAACATGGTGTTAAGTTGATGTTCACGTCTCAGGCTAAAGTTAAAAGTTGACATTTAGACGGATTAAGTATGAGACCATTAACAAAAGACCTCCATTCAATACGAGACTAATTCCAATCCATTTCTATGGAGTGTAAAGGGGTAGAAATCAGCATACATACAGTGAGACCGTCTGCATATTTAATAAAAGTGTGTTCTGTAAAAGATGGCAGACCATTCAGTAAAAAAGAAAAGAGGAAACAGCAGCTCCTTGTGGCACACCTTCACGAAACAGTAGAGACGTCGAACACTTTCCTCCAAACACAATATACTGTTCTCTTCCAGTGAGGTAGGGGCGTAACCAATTGGTTATCCAACTGTCAGTGTTGACACTGGTTAACTTGTTAAGTAAATGTTGTCTTGGGATAGAATTAAAAGCAGAAGTACAGTCCATAAAAGCTCATAGGATATACTTCTTACCCTTTTCCAAGCTGAACACTATACTGTGATGCAGAACAGCAACAACATCTAAGGTTCTTCTTCTGCATTTGTAAGTAAACTGATACAGATCAATGTGCTCTTTTAGTGCAGGTTGAAGTGGGAGTAACAACAATTTTTCCATTGTCTTGAGAAAAGGCGAAGTTATTGCTATCAGTCTAAATTTCACACTCTTATCACCAGATACTTCCTTAGGTATAGGAATTATCTTTATCTTTCTCCATATTTTCGGTATGAGATTAGTTGAGAAGAATCTGTTAAAGATACTCGTGAATGAATAATATAGAACGTCAGCAATTTTTTTTGAAACAAGGTTTGGGATTTCATCAGGTCCTAAACATTGCGACGAGTTAAGTGGCTGTAGACATTTTCGGACATCAGTTTCAATGATAATTGGAATACTTCTATTCTTCAAACCTGTATATATAGCGAGCATGAAATCAGATGACTGACGTACACAAAGCTTATTTAAGTCACAAACATTTAGCTAGTTATCGCTTCTAATATGTCTTTCACCTGTAAGTTCTTTAAATAGTTTCTACATAGTTGAAGGATTTTTACAAGATAAAAGTTTCTGAGTAAACATTGAGATGAGACATCTAATCTCTAGGTTTATTAGACTATTTAGCTTTCGAACTTCAACAGAGTTTTTCTAATTGTACATTCTTTATTTTACCCTCCGTAGTTGTTTTAGTTGTAGAGATCAAAACTTTAAAAAAGTGGTTTCCATTGGGACAACAAATATTAAAATAGAATCTAAGATACCAAGTGATAACATCAACAGCGTTTTCCAATCAGTCATCTGTAAATAATCTCCAGTTATTCGTACGAAACATATTTTTCAGATATTAGATATTTTCTTCTGAGTAATTCCTATATTTGACTTTCTTTGTCTGATGTAAGAGTATACTCTTTACAAGCTTGCCATATACTTTAGGTAGAACACGAATAATACGATGATCAGAACTAGACAATGGAGCAAGTTTACGAGTTACATCAATAATGAGAATTAAGTCTAAATTTGCACCCAACGAGTGGGAAAATCTACTGTATTCTAATAAACTAATGATGAAAGAAAGTTACAGTAACATTAATTAAAATCACCACACATAACTGAAAGTGAACCACTGAAGGCAGTAACGGAGAAATCAGTGAATTCATTAGCGAAAACAGATAGTGCAGATGATATGCAGCCCGGAGTCCCGTAGTTGTTGGTAAAACAAACATAATTGTGTTTATTCAAGTGTTTTGGACGGTATCTTGAAGTTAAACAGTCGTTATAGTCGTTTGAAAACTTAAAACTTGCAAAAGTAAATCAACACCAGTTCATGTTTACAAAAGTAGCTACACCGCCGCCACAACTTTTTCTTATTGTTTGACCAATCCTGACGGTAGACATTGAAATATTGTAGTGATACTAAGCAACCGTCTTGTAAATCATTTAACCAAGATTCTTGAATTGTGATGACACCACAATTACAACACATGTTTTGACTTAGTATGAAGTGAAGATAGTCTACCTTGCCAATTAGTGATCGGCAGTTAGAATTTAACAGCTCGGAAATCGACATATGGTTAATTTTCATTCACTTCAATGAACATTTCCAACCACCACGATGTCTCTGATTGTGCTCTTTTGTAACTTGTATGGCGATAGGTCGTAAACTTTTTATAAACGCGCCTGTATAGGTTATGCGATTAATGGACATCATATACTTATATTTTATGGAAAATAATTTTAATGCGGAAAAATTTCTTCTGATGTAAATTAATGAGTAAAGAAAACTTATGCTTACATTAATGTCTAACGGATTATGTCAAAGTAATCCAACTTATAAGCTTAGTAATTTATCGTAACTTTACACTATTTTCTAACTAGTAAACATTTAGTTAATATTTCTGTTAATACTGTTTCTATGAGCAAACCTTACTAACTTTATATTTTAAATGTTATATAAAGTACTTATACATTACTTGTTTTTATTTTACTTTCATTGTTGATTATGTAATAGGAGAATGAATTGTATTTTCGGTTAGTCAATATTATTCTCTACTAAATTCCTGGTAGGAAGTAATTCTATTGGAACACTGGCTAAAAAAAGTAAAAAGCAACTAGAAACTAAGAGTTGGACTATCATTGTTTGGACATGTGAATTGATAGTCTAGAGGATAAAGTCAGAATGGTAAACCAAACATAAAATTAGCTAAGAAATTTTTTTGGAACTTCAACTCCAGGAAATCATCTAGTTATTTGTTTACTATAGTTGTATTTTGATCTTATCCTCATCCTGGTTATCAACCACTTCAACCATATACCTAGTCATCGTCTATAGAATTAACTTTTACGTGAAAATGAATAAGTTATTCCTCTATTTTGAGTTATCAGAGATATTAAGGAGAGATAATTACTAATTTCAAGGTATTTCAAGCCGATCTAAAAACTCATAAGTTGAAGACACTAATATGATATGTTGTATTTGAAAGAATCTTAGAGGGGGTTCTGCATCTTGATCTTATACTTGATAATGGCTATTGATGATGTAAACCGAGAACTATGAAGAAGCTTACATGGATTTGAATTTTTTATTCAATATAATTCAATATTATCTCAGTAATGCACTATTAAAATCTATTTTAGTGAACGAAGACACAAGTGGGGACAATCAAATGCATTTGAATACAAAATCATAGAACATCTCAGTAAAATCTGAGAACCATAGAGTAATTACTTTATTTAAAAAATGTTAATCAATCGTCTCAGATTTGATTATTCCTTCTTTTCTACACCAATCATTCTCTGTACTTGTTCTCTTTCCTTCGATCTTTTTCACGTTCTGCCGCCAGACATTGCACTTTCGATTGATGATACATACTACTTATATCTGTCAACATCAGTAGCACACACCACACTCTTAGTGACACTAACTATTCCATTTGAGATTGATACATTTAATTTGATATTTTCTTTCCCATAAGGTTTATTTCATGAATGATTACGAATAAATTTCACATTTTTATTTTAAGCTTACCATTAACTGACTTACATAATACAATACTGAATAAAATACCATTTAATATTCAAGCACTTGGTTTATGAATCAAATCAGAACGAAAATAATACAAGTGAATAATAGAATATACCACTAGTTACAAACCAATCAGGTATACGATCACAGGTCTCGGATTTTAGCGCGAAATTCACTCATTAATTTGGCTAAATAGAGTTTTGGCATTTTAGCTGATGTCAGTTGGTGATGAAAACCCTAAATATAATTTCTAACCTTAATCATCAACTGTAAATCATAATTCAAATTCCTCACACAAGTTTATAACCTTCTTTTGATCCTAGTGATTAGGTGAACACTCTCAAGGTCATTCTAGCGTCACTCGAAAGTTCCCCATAATTTATAGTTTCATCCTAGATTTATTTGTTTTTATTTTAACACAGATATTGGTACAAGGTGGCACCAAATACATATGCGCCACACAAATCTCATTTGATATGTGTGAGGGCTGTGATACTGCCCGGGTGCACAAGCTGAAGAAGGTCGTTGTCCTAGGGAGCCACACCCGGGGCCTTCGACCGAAGGTCTGATCCACAAGACAGTGGAGCATCGTAAGGAGATGCAGTCTTATGGAAGCCGGTGACCAACGACTGGTTCATACCCCATTTGTTCCTTCAGGATACTGGAGCCCACGTGCATCATTGGTATGAATCAGGGTTTTCCTACTCCCCTAGGTGGACTCGCCATGTCCACCGACCCAATTAAAGCGCCGGACATTCGCTTTTAGTCCTCTCAATTCCGTAAACAACACCCCCGCCACGAGAAGGCAGTGAGTAGAACTTTCCCGGCAGAGGCTAGATACGCGTGGCCATGTAAGAGCACTTCGAGAGGAAGAGCGGACTCTCTCCACTCTCGGCCGTACTAGGGCATTTGATAATACTCCAAAGAAAACCGTTTATTTCTTAAATATATTTTTTTTATATATTACAAAAATGTGTTTTATTTCTCTTCAAAATAATCTATTAACAAGTTTTATACATGAGAAAACACTCAATAAACAATGATGCATATTTCTTCAAATCAACCAATAATTATTAGCGAAGGTATATGCATTCAAAATAATATGAACTGAATAATGTTGTACAATTAATCACAGTATTTTATTTTGAATAGATTATATACTATTATATCTTAATCATTGTATAGTTCTGTTAAACAACAACGATAATAATAATAACAACGACAGCAACAATAACAAATATACCTTTAAAGAAACCATTTGAATAGTATGATGAAAATAAAATATTACAAACATATTCAAATGACAACATCACCACGCAATATTAAGAATAGTGTTGCCAATAACTATCAATTATTATTAAAATAAATGAAACAGGTAAAGAATTAAAACAAATTCTTATCATTAATGAACTTATACATAATGTTCTAAGAGAAAAATGAATTCATTTATGATTTAAGGATTGTTTAAAGGAACAGCGAGAGAGAGAGAGAGAGAGGAAAAAAGCGGAGAATTTAATCTTGAATAATGAAATCAATATTTAAAATCGATGATATGGTAATTTTTCATTAGTTGTTAATAATCCATAATTAATTTCATAAATATTTTGTAAATTAACTGTTACAGATGGTGGAGTTGACAGTATACTATTACGATCATTCAATGATGAAATAAAAGATGATGAAGATAATGGCGGTTGTGATGAAAGTGCCGGCGATGATGATGATGACGATGATGATAATAATTTCTCTTGTTCTTTATTATATGTTTCATTTAACACTTCAGATAAATAATAGTTTTGTTTATCTGACCAAATATCAATTTCATCGTATATATTAGGCGATGATAATAAAGAATGTTCTAAATCATATTGATGATAATTTGAAAAATTTGATGAATAATTCATTGTGTGATTGTTTTCAGAATTTGTACAATGTAACATTGGTAGTTGTTGTTCTTGTTCTTTTTGTATTGTAAGATTATCAAACCAGTCAATATGAGATGCTAAAGATTCATTGATTGCAGATACGGAATTCGTTTGCAATAAACTGTCTGTTTTAGGCCAATTACTGTTGTCACTTAATTTATCTGTGAGATTATTTTGACTTCCATATACATACATTAAGAAATCTTTGCTATTTTCATTATAGTGTTGATTTGGTGTGATAATGTTGTTATTGTTTACATTCTGTTTAGAACACATTCCTTCATCATTTAAGAATACACTACCACATCCATACTTATCAGGTAACTGAATTTGTTGATTGTCATTAACATTTGTAACTACAGTAGAAGTGGGAATTTCATGGGTTTTTTCATAATGATTATTCTCATTTCCTCCTTTTAATATATCATTATACTTACGTTTAACTCCTAATTTTTCTTTACTAATAGGTATACATTCTGTATTATTGCCAGTCAGCTGATTATTGAAATGATTTGATGCAATACAAAAGTGACTATTGGATGTGCCAAGTTTATCTGGTGTATTTATAGGATTATCCGAAAGTTGTTTCAATTGATCAGATAATTTATCATCTGTATTAGTTTTGGTTGTCGTCATAGAGCTAATAAGTTGTTGGTTTGAGTGCTCTTCACCAGGAAATGCTAGAGAAAATAACAGTTCTGGTTCATAAACAAATCGATAAACATATCTTTCACCAGACACTTTCTGCATTATACCTTTTTCGTAGTAGTACCTTAAAGATCTACTCAGTTTATCGTAATTCATGGCAGGGCGATTCTTTTGAATACCCCATAAACGAGCAACCTTGTTTTAAAGAAGAAAAAAGAATTCATTATTTTTTACGAAATCCATAGCTAGACTTTGATAATTATGAAGGACAATAACTAAAATATCGGTAGTTTTATTAATAAATTGACGATTTATATGAAAATAGTTTTAGAATTCAAAATTATTTGGATAATAATTAGAAATTATGAGTTTCTAAGAGGCTTCTTTATGCTGCTAATGATGATGAAGGAAATCCAAAAACTTGTGTTTTTTTTAATGAATATAAAGTGCTTACTAATTAAGATCTACTTGTTTAAATACATGTTTAACTTATCAGAAGCTCAGTTAAAGCTGTCGAATGAACGAATATGCTTTTATAGAAATATGATGCATTCTAAAATGTCATTGATTTTAAACTCTAACTCAAAATTCCTTATAAACCTCTTATTGACATTTAGACTTAATAAATATTAAAGCTAAAAATATTGTGATTTTCGAACCTATATGTCACTGTTTAGTTAAAGATACTCATTTCAAATTCCAAAATCTATGTGTTTAGTATCCTGATATTCATCAACAACCTGTTGATTATTAGACCTCGATTAACATCGAAAAATGAGACCTAATTTACAGTACGAAATGGATTATAATTTAAATACTATGTTTATCTTATCTCTCAGTGAAAATTCCACTAAGTTTCAGATTTATATTTCTGGAACACGTCGACAACAGATGTAAACATACTTGGATTACTTTCTTATGATTTTCTGAAACTATGTCTCTTAAATTTCTGTACTAAAAATTGTAATAAAATAAAAACTCATTTCTTTATTCAGCTTAGGAATATAATAATCTATTTACCAGTTATTTAGTTTATTAGTATCAGAAGGAGTTTTAAGTAGATTGTAGTAATTTCAATAGTTGAGATCATGAGTCGATTGAAACTAGATTACTGGTTTGTGTAACGAGATTATATTGACCATAAACATGCAGTAAGTCATTACACCACTAACTAATTATAGAAAATAAGCTTAATCTTATCATATTAATTATGAATTTTCATATTAGAATGTAATAATAAAATGATTAAAATTACTACAGGTCATTGTCATTTAACAAAATCGTACATATCTACGGAAAAGATTTGTGTTCCTCTACCCCCCCTTATTCTCTCTCTCTCTCCATCATCCAGGGTATAAAAATTTGATTATTATTATTATTATTATCTTAAAATTGAGGAAATGTTTTGATAAACAGAAAAAAAGTTCTGATAATCTTTTCCTTTTGAACATGTTTAAGCATGAAATTCAATGGTAAAATGCCTTTTGAAAGTAATTTATGTTATATTTTTTCTACCAAAAAAAAATAAAATAAAATAAAAGTTCTTCGTGTGTATATTCTAAAAGTATTTTTATTAAAATGATGATTCATTGTATTGTACACGTGAACTATATCTTCTTGATATCTGTTTTATCACCTTGATAGGTATATACATTTAGACTAATGTATATGTAGTTCATCTAACTTTATGTATTTTACTCCTGTTAGTTTTACCTTGAGATTTATACTTAGTGGGATCAAATAAAGTATACATACCGGATTACATTCGTACAGTTATACTGAATAGTAATGAACTGAATTAAATTTACCAGTTAGAGGAATAAATGGTAATTATTTAAAAGTAAAACTACTGTCTGATCATTATTCATATTTTTTTTTATAGCTTAGATGATAAAGCACTGAATCGGCTTATCAGAGATCAATACTAAACATTAACCTATATCTGTTAACTTATAGTTCGAATTCTGATTGAAAATGACCGCTTGCATCTCATTGAAATTAATGTCTCAAACATTATCATATGCATTAAAGTATTTATATCTTGAATTAAAAACATTTTCCTTAGTATATCATCTATTCCATTAATTATAAGATGGTAGATGTGTATTATAAATTAATTCAAATGAAAATTATTACCTAACTTGTATATTTTCAAAATTTACCTCTTCAGGATCATTCAATTTAAATTCTAATGTTCTTCCTGTCCAACATATTAAATGTTGACTTTCTTTATCATCTAATAAAGCAATTAAAAATTGCCACAATTGTAAAGAACCTCGACGATGTAGATTAGCTAAAGCTGCAGAAGCAGCCGCCATTAAATTTCCATTATTATTTTCATGATTATTCATTAATGATAATGATGACTTTTCCATTAATGATCTCTCTATTAAATGATCATTTAATAAATTTGTTTGACAAGGTTTCAATAATTTTTTCTCATTTATTTTAATTTCATTAGGATCATTAAATGATAATAAAGAATTAGATGATGATTTTGTATTAGATTCAAATAAATTTGTATCTAATTGAAATTCATTATTAGTTAAACAATGTTCTATACAAGTTTTTGATAATGATAATGATGATGATGGTGATGATAATTCATTGTTTGATATTGTTGTAAAATTATTTAATGACCATTTAGAAAATGATTCATTATATGTATTATCTAATTTAGGATTCATTGATAGAAATGGAGAAAAAGTAAACCAACTTGAATTCTTTGTATCTACAGTTTAAAAATGAAATAGATAGGTTATATATACATATATGATGAATATAGAAATTAACTTTCCTCTTCTGGAAAGATTTGATGTTTGGAAAAATCTAAATTGATATGATCTTTTGTAGTATGTGTTATAAATGGTGATTCTCATTTCCAAGCAAAGATGGATAATGGTTAGTAGTGGAATCTAGGACCCGCGTTTCGTTAGCTGGATGTACCTACATTTCAGAGTTGATGTTCACTCAGGAAATCAAATCCCAATACCGTTTGCTTCAAACACTATCGCATTATCCACTTAGCTATTGAATTCTGATAGCCACCGATTTTCGTTGTTATATTAAAAATGAAACGATAGTTAAATAATTTTCAATATCCAGTCAAATTATTTAAAAGTAAAATCATTTGAAAAACTGCTTAAATTATCTGATCTATTTTGAAATTTTGTTCTGATTAGTAATTCTGATATCATTTAAACTAACAATAAGAAATATAAGCAGAGATGAATATTGGCTAGTAATGGAATACAGGACGCGCATTTCGTTCTATTTGGGACGGTACTGCGTTCAAGTCCCAGAATAGACATCAACCCTGAGATGCAGGTACATCTAGCTGACTAGTCCCATATAGGACGAAACGCGCGTCCTGGATTCTACTCGTAGCCACCATCCATTGTTGCATATAATGCTGGTGTATTAAGGCAATGTTGAGGCTATACGTACAGTATGAACATAATCCAGCAAGAGACTGATCAATTGTAGTCGTAAACATTAATGGGAAGATTCAAGTAAACAAGACCAAGTGAATTTAACAGTAAGAATTATTTAAATGCTTAATAAATTCATGTGTTTTCCTAGTAGTCTGTAACCAAGGTTTTTTGTGATTAATAGCAAAACTTTCAGTTTCCATAGATAATATCTAGTTCATTCAATTACATTATTCAAAGTGTTACCAAACGACATTTGAAAATTTAAGTGAATTAATGTGCGCTGAGAGTTTCCTTCTAGAAATATTAAGTGCTTTTGTGGTCTTAGCAGTCATGGTTTTTAATTCAAGTCGGGGGAGGTGACACCTTAATCATGTTGACCAATAATATTTGTTGAAAATTCGCTTTAGGTTATTGAATATAACCTATGACTAATTCAGTCACTTTATAACTTATGATATCTAAGTCAAACTCTTCACGGTGTTATAAGCTAGTACTTCTGAAAATTCCAATACACATTACTAATGTTAATACTGTTTTTCCTCATTTGAGCAACGTATTACTGAAAGATTATGTTAAATATTTTATGACATCTATGTTTTCCCCATTGCACTTACAATGTATTCAACTCTCAGATACTAAACAAACGAAGATATTAATAAGAACACTACTAAATTGTACACTAAGTGAGTAATATAAATAATTCACTTCATTTTAGTTAATCCTTTTTCGAGAAAAACTCATTATCGTTTAGTTGGTTAGTTGTATAGCATTCGGTCATAAAAAATATTGACAAGTCCTTGAAATACGGTTAGAATTCACTTGAATCTGTTAAATAACCTGGCGACTTGTAGTCTAACCTAACAACCTCTATAAATTACCCACTTAAAATAAGATTTTGAGTCATTTAACCATTAAGATATTAGTTCTGTTTAGTGAATAAATAATTTATTCACTATTTTTACTTAAAAATATTTCCACATAATACAAGCTTATAACATTTCTGAGATTTGACTGTATTTAATGTAACTATAATTATTCTAAACACAATCTAAATCTCTAAAATTCACCTAACTCACCTTCAATAAATGCATTCGAGTTTTGGTTACTTTTTTCCGGTACCATATATTCTGGAAAATCACAAATTTTTGTTGACTGAATTGAATAATCTGTTGTAATCTTTCTCGACTTCTCTGCATTTATATCTGTAGAGTGAATTTCACAAATTGACGGATAATTTGCTGTACAACCACATATTTTATGAGGGAGACATCCATTAACTTCTCTAGTTTGATAATGATTCAAAGAATCGATTTCACTATGTGAAACGTGTTCATTTTTTTGTAATTCACAATAACAAGACCTGAAGTTATGTAATATAGAATAAGTTTAATTTTGAATGATGGAATGATTATATATATATATATATATATATATATATATATATATATATATATATATATATATATATATATATATATATATAGCAGAATGTTACTTGGTAGAACTCTGTGTACAATAAACAATCTGACATCTCGAATGACTCAAAGTGTAGTGAAAGTAAATAACTTGGACTTTTAAAAAAAAATTGATGTATTATATTTAAATGTCATTTTGTCAATAATAAGCTTTAAGATGTTAAATATTTCAGATAAACATATAGTTTGAAACACAGAACTATAAGAAGAACCTCGGTCAATATGGTTGAATTGTAATTATCATTATGAACAATTGAAATTAATGACCAAATAGAAACCATATTGAATTCCCTGGAATTTAATAAACTCCGACACAGATGGTGTATATGTTCTACCTGAATAATTAGAGTTGAAAACTGTCATGTTCTCTAGTTTCTAGTGTTAGTTATATTCTATCAATCGACACACTGGATGATACAGTTTCGAAATACTCGAAGAATATCAGTCCCACGAGATTACAAATACATACTGTTGACCTGTACCAGCTGACAAAAACCCAAGTTCAATGTTTCCACTCTTGTAACAAATCTTACTGTACTCAACACCAACAACGATTTCAACGAATAATGTTTTTTTTCCTAACTGAGAATTGTGTCAATTTCTTGACTGAATTGTCTGTATTTTTGTTCTATATATCTCTAAATATATAGCACGATTTTCATATTTAATTATTTCAATAAATATTCTTTCTAAACAAATAGTTCGTGGATTGGTTGAAGTTAGACATTAACACCGTTGAATGCCGGCTCAGTGGTCTAGTTGGTTAAGTGCCCGGAGCGAGACTGATAGGTCCTGGGTTCGAGTCTCGCGGGGTGAGGAATCATGGATGCGCACTACTGAGGAGTCCCATACTAGGACGAGACAGTTGTCCAGTGCTTCCAGATTCTCCATGGTGGTTTAGATTCAAATGACTCCTGATTTCAATCAGTGAAATAGTTTACTAGCTAGTTATGACAAACAAAATCTAACTGTGACGTAACCACACATTTCTAGAATCATTTATTTGAAATAATCAGTTAATTAGAAATAAATCAATAGATTACATGTGGAAATCTTCATTCTTGTAAGATATTCACAATGTTATTATTGAATCTTTTGTTATTATGACTAATGTATCTATGAATATACTTCAATTGTAGATAATATATTTGAGAATAACTTTATGTTTTAACTGTTTATGACAAATCTTGTATCACTTTTCAATGTATATTACTTTTATTAATCTAACATTCCTACTTTTAACATGAATTTATTTTTATGATATATAAATCAACAAGAAATATGATCAGTAGTAAATCGTCATAATGTTTCATTTAATGAAATAATTATCAATATAACTTATAGTTGGCATGTGTAACATGATAGATTTGATATTTTATATACATGTAATAAAGAAGACTATTTCAAAGTGTTCAGTTAATAATAAAGCAAAAGTATACGCAATACATAAAATATATATATATATATATATATATATATAGAGAGAGAGAGAGAGAGATAAGGAATAGTAAGTCAGTAAGATTGGTTATTATCTTTGTAATAGATCTTTTGATTATGGATATATGTGATTCACTATTATCAATGATCATCCTATCTCCCATCTTGTTAATAACATGAAAATTAACAAACAATCTTAGTAAATTTTTGCTGAAATATATATATATATGCATAGAGAGAGTTAGAGCGTGGAATTCGACTCTTATAGTAATGATTCATCATAACATAATATTCAGTAACACATACATACATAGACATAGAAAACATGTTAACCTATTCATTATACAATCATTGTTATTGTTAAGTAAAAGTATATTCAAATCAATCTTGATATTAGATTTATCTTATATGTTCCATTATCTATCATTCACTTAAATAGAAAATACAAATTATTATTGATATGTGGTTTATCCGTAAGTTTTTTAAAAATTTTTTAACATAGATCCAAACTATTTCAATTAACCAAATTAAATAGTAGTATTACTAAAAATCACTATGTTACTGAAGTTTCTCATTTCTTTGTTATATGATTCGATAGGTATTACTTTCGTATCATAGAATCATGTTAACTGAAGAGGGTTCAAGTTTCTAATGTAATTTTCCATAGGTTTCTTTCGAATATTAATTAATAGGTGATAATGTTTTGTTTATTGAATACATTGTAAAGTCTCAGATTTAGTATAAACTTCTGCATACAACTGATCAGGAAAATGATAATGTTTTGATAAAATACAGTAATAATGTGTACAAATGAAATATTTCCTAGTAGTCAGTGAATAATTTAGCTATTCACAAACAATATTTGCATGGATAAAAATCATTTAGGATTTCATTCATTCACTTCGATGACTTCATAATTACCATAAGTTTGTTAATCATTGAATTATAGAACCAAATTAATAAATTTGTAATGTCGTACAGTGATGTCTGTGTTATCTTTTTAAAATAAGCGGTACGAACTTTCATCAAATGTAAACAGTAAATAAATAAAATCTTTTCTTAAGTAAAGACTTATGTGACCTGAAAGTTAAATATATTAACCAGTTGTCATAAATGAACCAGATAATATGGTTTTCGGATATAAAACAATGATTTAAAGTTGAGCGATATAGCTTCACTTCCACTAAGCGTGATAGCACATGATCTAAGGATTATGGATTTCGACTGTTACATTTGATAGGTTTCAAGTAGAAGAGTAACTCGGACTGATCACTTTATGTAAATTGAGTAATTAATGACAAAATCTGATTCATTTGAGTAGTTCCTTAAAAACAAAATCGATTTACATACGTATTCCTTGGTGGATAAGCGAATGAGTTTTAGAATAAAAGGTAATAATTAAATTTCTAAGATCCAAATATTTATTGATCTAGGGGGTCTATGCTCTGGAAAAGGACTCTACTACTAAAAACACGAAAGTCGTAAAACCCTAGACGTATATTACTGTGAGATTATGGAACATGTGATTATTCATTTTTGTATGTAAGCCATTTATTGATTGGTAAATACAAACATCAAAGACGGAGGAAGAAGAGAGTTAGTGAGAAGTTAACTGTCTGACCTCATGACTAATTATGTGAATAATATCAATCTAAACTTTTCGAATATTTGAAAAGAAAAAAGGTATCAATTCGAATAAACGAGTATTGTTATTGAGGTCGAGTATCCGTAAGTAAAATTGAGATTAAGACAAGAAGCGGTTGACAAGCAGTTGTAAGAAATAATCGTCAAAAACACCCTGGTTATCAAAATCAATGAAGATACAATCTTCTTTACAGGCCACAGTTTTCATTGATTTGAAAATAAATATTCCAGTCAATGTAGATTGATTAAGTCGTCACTACAGACAACGCTAACCAATGTCTAAGGATATTAGCTGTGGTTAGATGAAAATGCGCTGGAGAATAAAGTGTTCAAGATATCCCTAAATAAAGCGAACACATAAGCCAATCGCGTAGTGATGTAAATGAACAGTAATAATACAGATCTACAAATTGTCATAACTATTATTATAAAAACTCTCTGATCAGGAACTAAATACAAGTAATTCTAATGAAAATAAATGATTTCCAAATTACTATTCTAGATACTCACTGGAAGCAGTCAATAATGTTATATAAGAATGAAGTTTAAAATGATAAATCCAATCCTTAATTCATTTGGGTACCATTCACAAGGATCTCGTCTAATGTGAGACCATTTTCATTGAAAACCCAAATAAATAGAACATTTGTTGCGTTCTGGTATGAGATTCACGCCCAGGACATCAAATGAGAAGAAAGCATAGATAGTTAGGTTTCGCAGAAAGGAATAATATCTGCTTGTAGTGAAAATCAACTTCAAAAAATCCAAATTTTTTATAAAAGCCCTCTAGAAATACAAGGCAACAATCAACTCTAGTTTTCTGGCTTTAATTTTATAGGCTCATGAGCATTCTACGAAATTTACATAGTAGAAATTTTTTTAATGATGTTTAATCATGTCTACTTTAAAACAAACATTTTTGTATATGTATGTGTATGCTAGCAAGTAGCAACATTTTTTGTTTTTCGGTTGTTTTACCCTATAGTTTTATTTCACCGGGTACTTTTGGCTAATGATTCGGTTTTAGTAATTAATCGTCATTTGATCAAAATACCCACACACTCATCATGGATCTACAAAGCCATACAACTTTTCTCCATCACAAGAACTAGTGGCTAACTTCCAGAAGGACATCCATAAGTTTTAGTAAGAAGATGTGATGTGTCAAGTCAGTCAAGTTGGAAATGAGGCAGAAAATTACCATTCACTTGGAATGAGGTCCACTTTGTACAGTGAATCGATTAAAATTGAAAACGTGGAGCATAAGATCTCGACTTATCGGTTTGTATGTAATGTGCTCGTTGGGAGAACTGAAGGATAAGTGCTCGTTGTTGAAGAGTTAAAAATCAGAACGTAAATATTCAGTGCTCATTCGTTTTCATTGGTTATTCAATAATATCAATGACAAAAACCACTTGGTTGGAATAATTCAAAAACAGAGCATGTGTATCAAACCAATGTTCCGTTAATTGAAAACTGTCTGAATTAATATCTTATTTTACAAATTAAATGTGCGAAATTTATGTATCCAGTTGTGACTCTAAAATAAAGATCTACAATTTCTGTTAAACTCCTATGAATTCAGCTCCATTAAATAAGTAACTTGTTGATAATTTATGTTATTCTTTATCTCTTCCTGTTATCCGAGATCTATTTACAATGTGATCGCTAAACTGAATAACGTGATGATGTCTACCATATTCGTGTTGGATTCAGAATCTACATTTTCAATCTTCTTACATAGGAGCTCTGATATCGATGTTGACCAGCAAAGTTTATTTCGTTCAAGAACTCAAATCCAGAT